CGGACTACGAATTAATAAGGACAAAACACAAATAGCGAAAAGTAGTGTCATCTTGTTGGGGCATAAAGTTGGAAATCGAGAAATAAAACCGTTGCCGGAGAAAATCCTAGCCATAAAGAACATCGCGGTACCTAATTCCAAAAGGAAGCTGAGACAGATTCTTGGAAGGGCAGCGTTCTACAGTCGATTCGTCAAGAACTTTAACGAAGAAGCAGCACCCCTCTATAAGTTGTTAAACTGAAATCTGAAACAAATAAGGATTAGTTTGCAAATTACGATTCACAGGAAGGTTTTGTAAATATGCCTAACAACTCTGTAATACTCGCTTAAATAAATTGTTGACGTCCTCACCTGAGTTTTTGTGCATAACAATAGGACCGGCAGTATCCTCAGAGGGGGCCCAGAAGGATTTAGTTCGCACGTACATAGAGTATATCATCACAAAAATTTCTTTATGCAAGTTAAGAAAGATTGTCTCCACCGTGATATTTTACCCATTTTTACCATTTGTTGGTTAGGATTACTTCTACTCAATTTGAATAGACTTCCGACTATTGGTCCCTAAGATTTAGGTTTAAATATCTCACCACTGCCGTTTGGGAAAGTGGAAGAACATACGGCTCAATTTTTTCCCCATAAATCGTTGTTAAAGTTCAGGTGGTCTTATGACTTCATTCATTTCCTAAATAATGATTGAGGTCTTAATATATACTACCTGCTCCAACGTCCAATATTAAAATTTGGAGCCATGAAAACAGTTCGGATATGAAGACTAAATAAATCCAGAATGTGTTCCCGTTTTTCACATTAGATGGTCAATTACAAGACCAATCTGTTCAGAAAATCAAAAAAGTAGTTGATTAATGATCTTTGATTCCAGATTATTGACTGACTAACTTGTCCGATAAAGGTTCAAGATTGGTAGTTGCACTCATTTACGCTTCCCAAAGAATATAGCTCCCTGTTTGAAAATTATCTGAAAGGATTGACACAGGTCCTAAATAGCCACCTTATAACCATATGGTACTCTATCTGAAGCTGTAGGATTTAATTCGTCCTACAGATGAACTTCTAGAACTATAAACGCATTATTGGCGAGCACAGAGTCTATGGGAAAGCTATAGTTAGAACATCAACTTCGCTTTAAAATTTATCTGTTTCTAAACATAAGACAATTAAATTAGTACAATAAAGAAGGAAATTACATTTATCAAGTAAGACGGGCAAACGTACCGACCAATATGGCGTGTCTTCGGAAATGAATAAAACTATTGTGGTGCTGTGGTGCGAACTACTTATAAGTAGTATATAGCGTGAGTGTCAACGTAAAGTCTGGTAGCATAATATGGGGGGAAGATCAAGAAAGGAACAGTCAGAAAACAATGGAATTTGTATGAAACGCATGAAGAGTGACAATGGATTGATGTTTGGCAACAGGAACAGTCCAGTTCCATAGGATGAACTGATCTTTTGCAAATGAACGATTTACGATATGGTTTTCCGATTTTACTGAGTAACTCTGTAATTTTCGTTAAATACAATTCGGTTGCCTCCACCTGTGTTCTCATTCACTACATTTGGTGTCGCTGCCTGCTCGAAGGAAGGGGCTCCCGTGGCCGAAGGAGTTGCAGGACGGAGATCGGCGGAGCTTCCTGGAGGAGTTTGGGGCCACGGTGGAGCTGGTGGGGGCCTGGGGCGGAGTTGACGGTGCTGGAGACGCTGCGGGGAGGTGGGGCGAAGGCGGTACACGACAGCCTGGACGGTGCCACCGAGGAGACGGCGTGGGAGACGGTCACCGGGCGGCTGATAATGGAGTTCGACAGCCCAGCGGACAGGGAGGAGGCGCCGCAGAGGTTCCGGTTGGCGCGGCTGTCGGCCGACGGTGACCTGTTGGTGCTTGCTGTGGAGCTCACCGGATTGCGCCGTGAGGAGTGGGCGGGGCACAGTCTTTGGCGTCGCAATTTATCGAGTGTGTGCCTGCCGCCGTGTTCCAGCATCGGGAACTTGTAAACGCTACACGTTGGATAGATGCCGTATCCATTCCAGACCAGTGATCAAGAACGATGACCGAAGTGGTAATCCGGCATATTGTAGCGTGTCACGGAATATGGAAGGTGATATTAACTGACCAGGGGCTCCGTTTTGAAGGACTACGACGACAGCTTATTAAAAGGGGGGACGAGTGTGGTGCTGTGGTGCGAACTACTTATAAGTAGTATATAGCGTGAGTGTCAACGTAAAGTCTGGTAGCATAATATGGGGGGAAGATCAAGAAAGGAACAGTCAGAAAACAATGGAATTTGTATGAAACGCATGAAGAGTGACAATGGATTGATGTTTGGCAACAGGAACAGTCCAGTTCCATAGGATGAACTGATCTTTTGCAAATGAACGATTTACGATATGGTTTTCCGATTTTACTGAGTAACTCTGTAATTTTCGTTAAATACAATTCGGTTGCCTCCACCAGTGTTCTCATTCACTACACTATGAGTCACATCAATATAATAAGATAATAACGTCCTTCAATCAGTAGGTCATTCACAACCAGGAAAGTTTACAGACACGTCAGGTCAGATCACGTGGTGGGCGCTTAAACTACAATTTAATTGGTTAGTTATGACATAACTACAACTAGTTATAAAATAACTAACAAAAGCTGGGAGCAAAATATGAGGAATTCTCAGACTGATGTACTTAAACACTATGCATATTCTTGATTTAAACTTTGTATATACGAATGTCTTGCATGTGGTCTGTGAGAATCTGGTATAACAATACAAAGAAGTAGTAGCGCATATCGCCCGAAGGTCGACAGAGGAGGAGATAGAAAAGATCCAGCCTGTTACAGACCAGTCGCATTACTACCAATACTATCAAAGGTAATGGAAAGGCTGGTGAACGAACAAATGAGGGAGTACATGGATATGAATAAAATACTCAGTGAAGCTAAACACCGGAAAGGCAGGTCGTGTGCATCTAATCTTCTGATTGCATGGGACAGTTGGACATCCTGTTTGGACCGTAAAATGCCGGTGCAAGTAATATTTTTCGGCTTTGCAAAAGCCTTTGACACAGTGCCTCACGCAGGACTAATCGAAAAGGTTGTGGAAAAGGGCTTCGCTGACCGACTCCTATCATGGCTCAGAAACTATCTTGAGAATAGAAAGTTTCGTACCAAGGTAAATAGGGTGCAGGCGAGTTGGCGAGTATCCACATCGGGAGTTGCACAGGAGACCATCTTAGGTCCGCTTCCCTTCGTGATATTTATTAACGACCCGTTAGGCTTAGTCGACTCACCGGTATTGATCTACGCAGACGATGCGAAGATCTGGAAGTCCATTAGAAGCATAGATGATTCGACTAAGCTTCAAAAAGAGTTTACATCCATTCAGAAATGGGTGGTGAAAAACGGTTTGAAAGTAAACCGGTCTGAATGTCACGTCCTGCGCATTCTGTCCGCATGACGCAAACGATATACACCCTCAATGGAAGTCCACTCCCTAATGTCTCCGTTTAGTAACCACTGAAAGCCTCCTCCAATACTGAGGAGACGCAGTCAAGGCTAATGCGACTGTTCAGTTTATGCGAAGACAACTTGGTGCTATCACTCCACAATCATCCTCAACACTGTTTAAAACACATGCGCGCCCACACCTGGAGGTCAACAACGTCATCGTACCCCCTCTACATAAAACAAACATAAATCTCTCGGATCAAGTGCAGGGTGATAGGGTTGAAAAAAAAACCTTACGAATATAGACTCCAGCATTTGGGATTGGTCACTCCAAGTTACAGGAGAACCAGAGGTCATTTGATTATGGCGTGCAAAATTTCAATCACGCCAAAACATTCCAACGTGAGCATCCTACCGTTGCATCACCACCACTCCCCTCGAGGCAATCCTCGAAAAAAGGCGCACCGAACGGCAAACACTCAGGTTCATGCACAATTCTTCTCATTAAGAGTCCCTGCAACTTAGAACGTTCTCCCTGCGGAGGTGACCGCAGCCCCATTATTGGACAGCTTTAAGAAGAGGCTTGATAAACACGTACTCACATACGGACTATCGTCTCCCTCCTGGACAAGCTGTGCCTGGTGCATGCCTTTAGACCTGCTAATTGTTATCATTGCCACCTCATTAGATCACTCAATTAATCTATCTTGCCTATTATCTCTTTTTCCTCTCCCTTGCTTACACTTCGGTTATCTATATATTACTTAGTCCTGAAATTTAATTCATTTTATTCATTGGAATTTTCTCCGCGTCATTCTCCCCATTGCAACTAACTGATTTCCGGTCTGGTGATGTGATAACTGCTGGTATCCAGAAATCCCACAGCCCTGAAACAAACGTTTTCATTCGAATCACGGGACATACAAACTAACATACAACTGCCAACTGCCTAGAACTAGGCAGTCGAGTTGCTAGACCCCAATCATTGTACATAACCAAACACCTGGAACCGTACCGAAAGAGCAAGAATCGAGTGGAAAGAGATCAGTTAGTTTATACTAACTCGTGATAAAGGTATTGTATATTGGTAAGCGGTTAACTTAAACGCTGGTTATACGTGTGATTACACGTATGTACCTGCTACATTATCCTCTACATTTATGTATATCTTTTTGGTATAGATTTAAAAAGCTCCTAAACCACTCCAGGAGCTTTAATTCTATAAGTTTTTCATTGTTTTATATTTTTTAGATCGTGGCGTCCCGTCCTAAAAATTTTCAAAACTCTATATATACAAATCGGCAGGACTTCAACAAGGAACTTTATTCTTCGTGTTTTTACACTGGATTCAAATGCCTGGAAACGATCTGTCTGATATGTTTCACAGTATCCCCCCAGTTACTCGTTACTGGTTTTCGGGGACTATATTGTTTTCACTTCTTGGCAAACTTAATATCATTGATCCCATGCATATGATATTGTTATGGAATAGAATTTATTCCCACCTCGAGGTTTGTTTTTTGCATAACTTACCATTTTATAGATATGGAGGCCTGTCACAGCTTTGTTGTTCTATCCCGTGTCTCCATCAACTGGGTTTCATTTCCTAATCAATCTCTATTTCTTGTATTCGTACTCCTCTCGATTGGAAAACGGTTTGTTTGATTGGTACAATTTTTCATTTTCAGGCATGTTCCTTGGGCGCACTGCAGATTACGTATTTATGTTTTTGTTTACCTGGATAGCACTGGTGGTATCCTTTACCTGTATTTTTTGACTACCCTTTAGAAATTATTTATTAGTACTATGACGTCTTACTCTACGTAGTTAACCTAAAACGATTTGCCTCCGTTTTTCTGTTCAGTTATATTTGTATGAAAACCAGAAGTAGCTACTTCAAAATTTGCATAAAGGAAACTCAAATTATTTGCTTTTCATATCGCACTTGTTAGTTGGTTAGCGCATTTGTTCGTGTAACACTTGAGAAGAGCAGCTGTTTTCTGCCTCGACTGTAAGCAACAAATTTATCAATAAGACACCAGTCTTCATCATTAGTCTTCGCATTCTACCAGTGTCGGTGAATTCTTGCAGTCTGTGTGGTTTAGTGCCAAACACTAATCAGTCAGTTCAATTTATGTCTTCTGATCAAAATTTATAATTTCCTTAGTATAAATTAGCCGATGGTCTTAGAAATATTTATCAACTCTTTCAAAATTTCTTTAACTGATTTCTTTAACAGATTGTCAGTTTCTTGGCTTCATTTTATGTAAGTTAAATGTCAGGGTTTGTTTGTCATAATTTTGTTAGTTTATATTAATTTATAGTCTCAAAACGTTAGTGCCTATTGAATAATTTAAAATATTTTATTTTTCACATAAGTACACAATTGCCAACGCTATTATTTTTCGTAAGTCAAATATAACTATTACCGAAATTATGAATCACTCATTATTAGACCATCATTGGAGACTTGGGAGCACTAGATCCAGCTAGATCACATCGACATCAACCACAGAAAGAGGGGTTTGATAGACGACCGTCGCTCGTTCTGGGGCACATGTTTTGATTCAGATATTGCTCTAGTGCTAGCGCGTGTTTGTTAGGAGAAACACCACAAGGAAACCTCTTAGGGTTCTACCTCATGATAGCATAGCTAAAAATACATTTCAGGAACAATTGGAAAAACAGTTGAACGGCAATGTAAGTGATTCCCATCCGGACGCATCTTGGAGTATCAAAAATGCTGTGGAAACAGTAGTGATATCTGCTTGTAGGTTAAACCATGAGTCCTCCGAGTTTTATGAAGTTGAGAAAGCTATAGGAAATCTAGAGCGAGGTAGAGCAGCAGGGCCTCATAGACTGACCCCTGAGATTTTTAATGGCAGTGGTCCAATTTTAACGGTTAGATTGACTGAGATCTTAGATGGAATCTAGGAACTGGGTGCAATTCCATCTGACTGGTCTCAATCACTGACTGATTCCTAAACCCTAAGGTAGTATTTGACTCTGTCGATCTCGAGGCTCTCTGGCAGTGCCTGTCATTTAATGGTGTACCGGAGAACTACATTAACCTTTTACAAACTCTCTACTTGAACGCTACTGGTCGAATCAGAGCCTATGGCAAACTGTCATCGTAGTTCATTACTTCAAGTGGTATCCATCAGGGCCGTCCACTTTCTCCGTTCTTGTTTAAATTTTTCATAGACTTGCTTTTAAAGATAACATTGTCGTTGTCTGACTCTTCAGGA